TATCTGACACGATTAGTTGCACCACAATATTTTCCATAATCAATCACTCCTACTGGAAACAAGCAGTACATCAATAGGCGGCGTTACATTTGTTGTTTTCCGTCAGACATGAATGTACGATCAAAAAAAAAAAAGTTGTACTATGTGTTGAACCATGTTTTTGCAAGTATCATATCTTATTGAACTTTTGAACGAAAATTTGAAAACCGAAAAGACCATCTTATGATGTAAGATGAATATGGTGAGTCTATGGTTAAAAGTGAAGGTGGTGAATGTATATGTAAAGAACACAACGTCCACACCTTCTGTCATATGAATGCTGTCTTGTAAAAATAAAACGAATCAAATCTATTTCGTTCTTGCTGCTTTCTAACGACATCTTAGATACTTGCTACAAAAAAAGAGAGGATAGAATTGTTGACAATGATCAAAATGGTGAAATCGGGTGGATGACTCTTATTCTTTGGACCATTAAAAGAAAAATATTCTAAATAAATGACTGTATAGTAAAAGAAATAATTCAATTATTTAACTTGCTATATCAAGAAAAAGAAAAGAATTTTTATTTTGATGAGCTTTGTGTCTTTGATTTGTATATGTATTAATATATGTTGATTTTATATTTAAGTTTTCTTTACATAAAAACAAAATCAAGTCTTTGTTTTTTCTCTTTACTTCTTCAGATGTTTTCAAAAGTAGTACCTTGGCAACGGGTAATAATATTAATAATAATAATAAATATCATTTTATTTTATTCTATAAAAGATTCCAAGTCGATGTTTAAAATATTCCGGTACAGTGCTTCTTCGAAATGCATCACAATCATCATCAAGTGGTGGTGGTGGTAAGGACAAAATCAAAAGTTTTCTTAAAATAGTATAAAATTTCCATATAGAACAACAATTTGATCTTGTTGTCATTGGCTCTGGACCTGGAGGATATGTAGCAGCTATTAAAGCTGCTCAACTTGGTCTTAAAGTATAATTATTCATCTTAAATTGTGAACTTTTTTTTTATTAAATGGATTTTATTTTTCAGACAGCATGTGTTGAAAAGAATGCAACATATGGTGGAACATGTCTTAATGTTGGTTGTATACCTTCAAAAGCAATGTTACATAATTCACATTTGTTTCACATGGCTCAACATGGTGAACTTAGAAAACGAGGCATTGAATGTATGTAATGAAGATTTAATTTAAAATAAA